GTGAATCCAGGCACTAGCAGTGGCAAAACCTGCTTTATAGCTTAATAGGATGGGTGATCCCATCCTATTGTGATTTAACAAACCATAATTAAATAATACATATGAAGGGAGAACTGATGGTTGGGTTTACATACTGCACTGAAAATTGGGCTGATTGTATCTTATTCAAGGCAGGGCTGGGATTTTCCATTTGGAAGATTTTTCTTGGTTTTATTATTTTCTTCCACGACATGAAGCCTATTTTAAAGCATATACAACATTTTTCATGTTTTGCTGTCTCCCAGGGAGGAAAAAGTACAATACCCATATTGTGTATTTATGGATAATATTGCCATTTATGGACAGTGCAGTGAAAAGACTGAGTTAGCCCACACAATTTATTTCCGTATTAGTGCTGACTGCAGTTGGGCAAAGATAAAAGAGCACTTCTGTTTAATGAAATAGTTTTGGTGCTTTTTAAAAAATCTACAGCACTGTTGTTCATTAGCCCTGTTTGCCTACATCAGGGTCAAGCAACAAGAGATTGAACAAATGTGGAGTGCAGTTTCCTGCTTATTAGGAAATTAACTTAAGCAGGATTGGATTTGCCTTGGTTAATAGATCAGATTGCTTACTTAACATTGATGTTTTGAATGCCTGATTTTCTCTTTTAATTAAAACAAATGAAGGCAGGCATCACATTTGTCTAGTCCAGTGATGGCGAACCTTTTAGAGACCGAGTGCCCAAACTGCAATCCAAAACCCACTTATGCATCGTCGGGTGCTGGGTGGGTGTGGCCCAGTGGGTGGGCATGGCCAATTGGGTGGGCGTGGCTGTGGTGGTAAAGGCAGACTGGGTGGGACTAAAAAGTTCAATCAATCAATTCCAACTTTGCAAGATCTTTTTTTTCCCACAAGAAATTGAAATTGATTGATTGATTGAACCTTTTTTTTTTTTTTTTGCACATGGCAGTGGAGGCCTAAAGTGAAAAGGTTTTATAAAACCCAGCTGAAGGCCTAGGACTGAGGTGACGGTTCGCGTGCCCACAGAGAGGTCTGAGTGCCGCCTCTGGCACCCGTGCCATAGGTTCACCACCACTGGTCTAGTCTATTACTGAGATACCATATTAACAAACAGCTACATTTTTCCATAAGTACAGCATTCAGACTTTTTTTTTTTTTACTTTGCCCAAGGAATGGGGGAGACATTGGTTTGTTTGCTTATAAATCTTTTTTCTTCTTCTTACAGTTTCAGCTTTCAGAGAGTGCTGGGTTTTCAATCTTTTATACAAATAGCAATTTTCCAGATAGGCGCTTAGGTTGTAAATTAGACATCCAGGCCACAGGTAGTTCTCAAATTACAACGATTTGTTTAGTGACCATTTAAAGTTAAGATGGCATTGAAAAATGAACTTACAATCGATCCTCACACTTATGACCATCACAGCATTCCCATGATCACGTGGTCAAAATTTGAGCACTTGGCAACTGGCATGTATTTATGACAGTTGCAGCTTCCCGGAGTTGTGTGATCTCCATTTGTGAACTTCCCAGCTGACTTCCAATAAGCAAAGTCAATGAGAGAACAGAAATTTGCTTAAAGACCACATGATTCGCTTCATGACCAGTGATTCATGTTAGCAACCGTGGCAAAAAAAAAGTTCTTAAAATTGGGCACTACTCACTTAACAGCTGCCTCACTTAACAATGGAAGTCCTAATTATGACCTTTAAGTTAAGGACTACCTACACTTTTGGTAGAATTGAACACCTCAGGCCGCTTTTAGCTTGAGAACTGAAGCTACTCCAGATGTTGGGGAGAATACATTTCCTATCAGCGGAAGGGATTATTTTTTTTATAGAGAGGCACGTTTATCTCCTTTAGAAAAATGTTGATCCACCCAGAGGAAGGGAACGGGCTCTCCTCTACCCGATTTAATGACACAGTTGGAAACTTGTGAGGATTCTGTATTAAGCCAGATCCATCAGATCCCATTAGAAGTGATTTATCCCATAGCAAAACTCTGAGCAATTGGTATCACAAGGCCCAAAGCAGCAGCAGCAGCAGCAGCAGCAAAGCAGCTTCTACTGCCTTATAGAGTTGTCGGCTCAGTATTTATTTTCCCAACCAGGAAAGCTGATTGTCAAACCAAATCGGAAGCACATTGGCTTCAGGACTGGGGAACTGGTTTCACTGACTGAAGTCAAGAGATGGACCACATTATCAGAAATGCTACTTTATGGTGGCTCACATGGGAACCAGCACCCCTTTCCCAATTCAGAGGAAGCCCCTCAGTGAAAGGTGGGAGAGGCTTGGGAGCCCATACTTTATGGGCGAGAGATCCTCCTCCATCTTTGCTGTGCCTCATTGCCAAGATCCTTCCAGTATAATCTTGCTTCTTAGCCAGGTGACTAGTGTTATCTTTAAAGCTGTGGAAGCACCTTGGGCTATATATAGATTTTTCTCCTGTTGATGACATGCTGGTGTATGATTGATCTCTGCTCAATGGAGAAAGAAAAGAATAAGCCCAACCTTGGCATGCCTGATCCTGTAAAGTCTTCAGAACGGATATCTCTGGGGCAAGTGCTCTAGGTCAGCGTGCCAAGGACAACTTTAATAAGACAATAGTTATCATTGAAAGCATATGCCAAGAATTTCTCCTCAGTCGTAATGTTTTTCTGACTTCACTTAAGTACTTGAATAAAAGAAACTGGAGGAAGCAGAAATAAAGTTGGAAGAAAAAGCAACTTCTGAATGACAGTTATCAAGTTCATGTAACTTAGGGCTGAAAAAGTAAGAACTTAGTAATGTCTTCATATAAGATGAATCGCATCAACAATTCTTTCGTATTATGCATGCTGACTTTCCTGTGTAAGAAGCTGCCTTAATGCAAACCAGGCTTTTGAATTCATCTCTCATAACAAACAATGACCCATGGATCATTTGCAATTGTGTCTAATTTGTGCCCCCAGCATCCAAGATTATGTCATCAGAATTCATGGAAAAAGATATCAATAATTCCTTTTTAATTTTTTTTTGCTTCCTCACAAGTATGGGTTGAAATTGAAAAAGAAAACCTCTAGAATGAGAAATACAAGACTGAATTTTGGAACAGAGGTGGCAGGATTGGAGAGCTTTTTAAGGATAAAATTGAGAATGATTTATCTTCCAGAGGTTTTCTGTTTCCATTCAGCTGCCCAATATTGTTTCTGCCTCATTCTTTGATGTCACTCTCCTTTTTTTTTTTAAGCAGGGGTCTTCAAACTTGGCCCTTTTATGACTTGTGGACTTCCAACTCCCAGAATTCCTCAGTCAGGCACTCTGGCTGAGGAATTTTGGGAGTAGGAGTCCCCAAGTCATAAAAGGGCCAAGTTTGAAGACTCCTGTTTTTAGTGATGATCCTTGGGCTCATCATCTGGTTGAGAGAAATTACAGTTGCCCAAGAGAAAATCTACACCCAGGATTACATGTTCTATTTTAGGTGCAGGTCCCAGAGCCCTTTCTCAAATCGGTATCAAATTACACATTTAAAATATGACAGAATTGGGAAATTATTAAATATAGAAAAGGTGGGGGTTTTTTTGTTTTTGAGGCTGGAAAAATGTGTCAGAAACCTTCCTGTGGCTAACTGTCTTTATTATTATTTCTATTTCATACCTCTGGCCCTGATCTGTAGTTAATTTGATCTTCTGATGACTTGTGGTTGGGGTGAATTAAAGGGTGCGGTAGAGCTTCTTTCACCTTAACCATCACTTTCCAAATCTCTTTTACGAGAGACGGGGGAGGTGAATTCCTTTTTCTGGTCAAGGCTAAATTACTCTCATTATATGTTAATTGTGTGGTTTTCAGATGCATCGTTGGGTTTCTAAATTAAAGTCTTAAACAAGAAAAAGAAATTCTCACTGAAGCTGATTGCATAACCCAACTCTCTTCTGCCATAGTCCTGATAAAACAAAGAAAACTCCTAAATGCTGCAATTAACAGTAGACCATGAATCTTCAATGTTTACCTCTAAGGTGTTTTGTGTATGTTTGTTGAAATCACACAGCTGAGGAAAGAAGAGTCAATGTGGTCCTAATGAAATCGCCCCCCCCTCCATTTACATACACTGAAATGAAAACTTAATTGGGCTGTTGACTATATTACTGGCCTAGCCATAGGCATCTGCAGAAAGCCGTAATTTTCTCAGAATAACAAAATGTGTTGTGATGTCATAACACAAACACTGTCCATCATGTACTTGCATGCAGTGCTGTGATGCAGAAACAAAATGTGTAGAATTTGCATCACAACATCGGAACAAACATTTTGTCATTTACCCCTTTTGCCCCTCCCTATGGATGCCCACGGACCTAATATGTTATATCCTAGTTATAATATTAATATGGATTCTCTGGCTAGCTTCATTCACATTCTCCAAAACATACAATAACAGTAAACCTTGTTCAAGCCATTAAGTCTGGGTTTGCACATCATACTAAACCACAGTTTCCTGAACAAGACATAGTGACTGAATTTACGATATGCTGAACCATAAATCATGGTTTACAACCTACAGAGGCTTAATACTTTAAGCTGTTCAGAGTTTTCAGGAGTGAGATGGGTGACATATAAATGTAATAAAGAAATAAGCTAGAAGCAAACCAATCATGGCTTAGCATCATCAGTAAACACAGCTTAATAGTGTAAAGCTAGATGCTCCAAATCATTGAATTGTGTACAACTTCTCAAGCCTACTAGTACATCATATTCTCAGGGCATATCTCTGTGAGAACTATATCAGCTGCAGAGAAATGGTTCGAAAATATACAAATATCTTTATATTAAGCAGCTATCATAGATTCCCAAACCTATGTTTGAAATAAGGATGCGGAACTTAAAATAGAATAGAATAGAACTGGAAGGGACCTTGGAGGTCTTCTAGTCCAGCCCCCTGCTCAAGCAGGAGAATCTATACCGTTTCAGACAAATGACTGTCTAGTCTCTTCTTAAAAATCTCCAGTGGTGGAGCGTCCACTTACCTTTAGACTGCTTTAATTTTGAAGTTTGTATCTGTAGGACTTCTGTGGGAGATCACAGGGAGAAAATGCCCTGTTGTTATATTGAATTGTGATGTCACTAATATTGGTGTTATGACCCAAATCAGAGTTAGCTCCATGGGTGACTGTTGTGATTATCATAATCACAGGTCTAAGTCATTTGTCTGGTGGTTCTGAATTTCCCACATCAAGGTTTCTCAACCTTGGGCAGCTTGAAAATGTGTGGACTACAACTTCCAGAATTGCCCAGCCAGCACAGTTAGCTGGGGAATTCTGGGAACTGAAGTCCACACATTTTCATGTTGCTAAGGTTGGGAAACACTGCCCTAGATTAAGAAAGGCTGCTGACTTTTCTCTGTGAGAAGTACAGAAATAATGAATAACCAGATTTTAAGTTGGCAGTTCCAACCTTCTGCTTGGAATGTTTTCTGACAGCACAAGATGGTTCTCTATCTAAAGATCCTTGCTGAAAGCAATCCAAAATAATACAGTAACAAAATGATACACTTCTTTTTACCATTTTTAACCCTCCTTTCCTAACTTTCTAATTATTCTAGAAGCATCAGGTTCTGGTAAATTAATGTTTTGTGGAGAGTGGAAGAAATATATATAGCTCATCCAGGTCATGTGATGTGTAAATCTGTTAGAATGAAAAGAGAACTTGTGATCCTTCATATATGGTTAGATCAGCTCTCATCTTTTTTTTTTATCGTTTTCCATCTCCAGTTGACCAACTCCTAGAGTTCCACGGTCCTTGGAGTTGTAGCTGCCACTTTAAGTTCATGACCTGCTTCTTCTACAGCTTAAGAACTTTGCTAAATCAGAATAAAAAACATTATCTAGAGCAATTTCCAAATGCTGTGTGATTATCTCCTGCTTATTAAACCTTGCCTGCAACCTTGCCATTCCTTAGTTGGCGCCAAATAAAGAATGTTATAATGTAAATAACTTGTGTGTACAGAGAATGTCCTGATTATGCTAAGTCAAGGTTTGCTTAATCATAATTTGCTGGGTAAATCAAAATTGATTACTCATTCTGTTATGTCCCGAGCCTTTGCAAACGGCTCGGGCGTTTGCAGGCAGTCCCGGGCAGGTGCAAAGCTGCCCGGGACCAGACAGGCTGTCGCCAGCGCCGTGCGCATGCGCGGGTGCTGGCGCGGGAAAAGTAACCCATTTACCCGGGAGTTGCCTATATAAGAGGCTGCGAGGCGTTTGGGCGAGGCTGAAGCCATCTTCCTGTAAGCTGAACGCTGAATAAATGAAACTGAGAACTCCAGCTGCTTCTCGTGTCTGTTTTCCCGCCACGGACTCAACACTGGCGACGAAGGTGGGATGCCTTGCACTACCTGGAAAGGAAGAAGTGTAAGCTTACCCAAGGAGTCCTGAGCGGCGAAAGAGGAACGGCGTCGACTCGGCAGCTGCCCGCCAATCCGGTGCGCATTCGGGGGTAGGCTGGCTGATAGACCCGTCTCCTGAAGATCCGAAGATGGCGAAAATCGGAAGGCTTTCGGAATTCGACGTCTCACATCCAGAGCGGTGGGAGTCCTACGTATCCAGAATGGAGAACTACTTCAAGGCAAACCAAGTGAGGGAAGATAGCTTGAAGGCGGCCACCCTGCTTTGCGTTTGCGGCCAAGACGCCTTCGAAATCGCAGAAAACCTTGCAGCACCTGTCCCAGTAGAGTCTGTAAGCTACGCAGACCTGAAGAAGCTGCTGAAGGAGCACTTCAACCCCAGGGTGTCCGTTATCTCATGGCGCCACACCTTCGAACAAAGAGATCAACGGTCCGGTGAGTCAGCCAAGGAATACATCGCCGCGTTACGGAAGGCCGCCAAGCCCTGCGAGTTCAAGGACCTCGAGGAACGACTGAGGGACCGATTCGTGTGCGGGTTAAGGCATCGCGAGCTACAACAGAGACTTTTCGCAAAGGAAGAATTATCCTTCCAAGACGCCTTAAGGGAAGTCACCGCAGAAGAAGCAGCAGGCGGCGCCGTCAAAAACATGCGGCCGATCAGAAACAGTGCAGAGGGTGCGTCCGTGCACCAGGAAGACGTCCGACGAAACTCCGAGGAGGATCCGGACGAGGAAGTCGACCGTCTACACCCCGCGAGGGAAGAAAACCAGAAGGGAAGCTCTTCGGCTCCGCTCAAGTTCATCGGCTGTGGAGGTCGCCACAGGAGAACCGACTGCAAGTTCCGCTCCGCTACCTGCCGGGCATGCGGTAAACAAGGGCATATTGCAGCTGTGTGCCTGGGCCGACGAAAGGCACAACCCCAAGAAGAACGACTGAAGGGTACCAGATTCCCCAGCCAGAATAGGGTAGGTTTTTGCGCTTCGCGAAGAAGCATCTGTAGAACAGGCACACACAAGCCCATGAAGAAAAAGCTGTCACTCAACGTGAAGCTACAAGGGGTTCCATTATCTATGGAACTAGACACAGGGTCTGCCCTGTCCATCATTTCATTGCATACATTTAGGAAGATTTGTTCCAGAAGTGGGTCTAAGGCCAAGTTAAGGCCTTCTGATATTGTATTAACAGATTTTCAGAACTCAAGAGTGTGTGTTAAGGGGGAGGCCACCCTTAACGTGCAATACAAGAGTTTTGAAGGTCCACTAGACTTATTAGTAGTAGGGGGTGAACGAACGAGTCTCATAGGACTCGATTGGTTTGAGGCCCTGGGGATACACGTCACAGGACTCAATAGCTTACAAACACTCGACCTACAGGAAGTCTGCACAGAATTTGCAGATGTTTTCAGCCCCCAGCTGGGCACATTCAAAGGACCACCTGTGTCCTTAAAGCTAGACCCCACTGTCACTCCCATTAGGATTAAAGCAAGAAGGGTCCCTTTTGCTTTAAAAAGTAGATTGCCTCTGCCAGTAGTAGAAGCTGACCCCGCGCCAGCTGTCAACATTCTATCAATCCAAGCCTTGCCCGAGCTCCCTCTTAGTGCCAGGGATGTTACCGCTGAAACAGGTACAGATCACACACTTTCACGTGTCCGCTCCTGGGTCCTGTCCGGGTGGCCTGAGCACTGCCCTAGTCCTGAGTTTCAGAGTTTCTGGTCCAAAAGAAACGAACTGTCCCTTTCTCAGGGTTGTCTGCTTTGGGGAAACAGAGTTGTCATTCCCACCTCAATGAGGACTAGGGTCTTAGAATCCCTCCACGAGGGTCATCCTGGCATTGTTCGTATGAAGGCTCTTGCACGCAGCCACTTGTGGTGGCCTGCTTTAGATAAAGATATTGAGGCTAAGGTACACGCATGCCACCTGTGCCAACGATCTCGCCCAGAGATGCCCCAAGCTCCTGTGCATAGATGGGAGGAAACACAGTCCCCATGGTCTAGGGTGCACATTGACTACGCTGGGCCCTTTCAGGGCCAGTTCTTCTTGGTCCTTGTTGACAGCCATTCAAAATGGCTTGAGGTTGTGCCTGTCTCATCCACCACCACTGCAAAGACTATTCAGGTACTGAGGGGGATTTTTGCTGCACACGGGCTGCCAGATGTCATTGTGTCCGACAACGGCCCTCAATTCACCTCCTCCGAATTCCAAGCTTTCTTACAGGCAAACCTGATTCGTCATGCCACGTCTGCGCCTTTTCACCCGTCCACCAACGGTATGGCTGAACGCATGGTGCGCATCGCAAAGGACGCCTTGAAGAGACTCACCTACGGGGACTGGCATCACAGGTTGGCTGACTTTCTCCTTTCTTATCGCACCACACCGTCCACTTCTACAGGGAGAAGTCCAGCTGAACTTCGTTGGGGGCGCCAACTTACTACTAGACTTGACCGGTTGCATCCGGACAGACTGCCTTCATCTACCTCACATCCTAGGGCACCTAGACAACTACTTGTGGGTGCCCCGGTTTGGGCTCGCAATTACGGGCCTGGTCATACATGGGTCCCCGCTTCTGTGTCCAGGATCACAGGTCCTCTCTCCTACGAGGTTGCCCTGGACAACGGTCGTGTCCTGCGTCGGCACATCGACCAACTTCGCTCTAGGCGAGACTTTTCTGCTGAGACTCCTGGGTCTTTTCCAGGGGGGGAGGGGGACCCTTTGGAGCAAAGGGAAGGGCAAGAGCTACTGCCCATCTCCACTGAGGGAGCCACAAACGGCTCGTCCCAAGGTTCTGCAATTGCTCCGAAAAGAAAGTCATGGAGCTTACCCACACAACAGGCACTCACGCCTACTCCAGCCAGGGAGTCACCCCGGGGGCATACTCACTTTCCACACACATCACACAGCACTCCAGCAACGGAGGATACCCGGGGGCATCCCAACAAATCATTCCCCGCAAGAGAACTGGCACACAATTCCCAAGGTTGGCCTGACCTTACCCCAAATCCTACAGGGGGTCAAACATACACAGAGTTAGTCGAGGAACCAAGTCCCGACTACAACAACCCTAGCACAAATCAGGGAACACCTGAGTTTTGGGAAAGTACAGAAACCCACATGAGCCCGAACACAGAATGGGGTTCAGGGAATGGACAGCCTCCTGACAGGTCTTGGACTGACCTAGGAGGTTCTACAGAGACGCCCAGCAGCGGCTATCACTTCAAGGGGCCTGAGGGTCTACAGCTAGGTAGGTCAACCAGGTCACAAAGTAACAGAAGCCCTGGCCTGACGAGCCCGGTGGGCAAGCAAGCAGGCCAGGCATCGGGGCACAGTCCTTGGAAGACACCAGGACACAATAGAGAGAACAGGCTCACGCCTCCCTCCAGTCAGGGAACTTATGCCAGTAACCCAGAGCTAAGAAGGTCACAGAGAGCAAAGAAATCTCCTAAGTATCTAGAAGATTACATAACATTGCTGGCAAGGCAAAAGCCAGTAATCAGTGGGAGCACTGGGGAGCAAAATGTCATATAAAATAAATGTTGTATGTTGGTAGTAGTTTTAGCCCGGGGGAAAGGGGTGTTATGTCCCGAGCCTTTGCAAACGGCTCGGGCGTTTGCAGGCAGTCCCGGGCAGGTGCAAAGCTGCCCGGGACCAGACAGGCTGTCGCCAGCGCCGTGCGCATGCGCGG